CATCTTTAGGATGAAAGTATTCAGGAACATCATATTCACAATAGTGCTGGTCAGATGAAGTATCATTGATACTAGGAGTCTTCTTATTCTTCTTTTTACTCCTCTTCTTCTTCTTTTGCTTGTTCATGGAAGGTAAAGTTGTCTTTGTTGAAGATGAGATAGATGTGGTGTGGTGAGATAAATCAGATGGGACAGGTACCTCTAGATCACACAAAGTTGAGTCAATTCCTACTGACATCGCGCCCAAGCAGGTAGCAAATTCTGGAGGGGTTGATGCGATACCGGGTTTATTGTTGTAGATGGGATTGATCGATTGTAGTGTTGGAGTAGATGTGCTTGAGGGACAGGCAAGACCCTGATCGATGGTTGCATTGGGTCCAAGATTAACATCACTTGTAGCGACACAAGTGCCAGAAGATGCAAGATCAATAGCATCATAATGCGTCAGAGCAGTAGTATGAAATACAGGATTTCTGTTAGCGCTATTGATTGAGTTGACCGAAGGAATGAAACCAATATCTTTGATCGATTCTAGACCATCAGATACACGTGTTTCACAATTGAGGACTGAATCCACAGGTCGGCTTCAATCGACATTAGCGACGGTTTGTTGCTCAAAATTGCCAAAAGTCTCACAACCAACAGCTGCAACAGGTGTAGAACCGACAGCAGTGGCAGCAACATCGAGATCAATTAACTTCTTGATTGATGAATTCGCCGCGGGAGGTGTATCAGTTTCCGTGCCAGAGTCTGAAGTAGGAGAAAGATCGATGGCAGCGGCAAGAGTTGGATCATCATTTGAAAAGGTCTGTGAATCTAATGCGTGCACTATTGGGACATTCGCAGCGCTTGATGTTCGATCCTCGATAACAGGAACCGGACTTGAAATCATCGCAGGTTTGATTGCGTTCAGGATCAGATTGATGTCGGTGACAGACGCTAGACCAGCGGGGATACGCAGTGACGAAATAGCAGCAGCACGTTCTGGATTGTCAGCAGTGGCAGTTTGAGACTCAGATACCACTTGAACAATAGCCGGTGTAATGAGTTCTTCGCCGACCTCATCGGGAGTTACTGAATTGTCACCCGTTTCGGAACTGTCATGAATGGATTCCGTACCAACATCACTAGTAGGCTCGCTGACAAAATACACCGGTGTTAGATTGATTGCTGTGGTGATAGGTGACAAATCGACAGCAGTGTCAGGTGCAAGACCAAGTGTGGTGGTTGTAACAGTTGGCCCAACAGTTGCGGGAACAAGCAAATTTAGATCGAGCGGATGTTCGGTGCGGATCAGATCAATCGCAGTGCTTGCGGAGGTCATTGATCTAGGCGTGATGCTGTTCTGTGACATTGATTCATCAGACTGATGATTTGATAAAGCATATCGGGCTAGCCTATCAGGTTCTGTTTGCATGCGTGATCGAGTGATACAAGGAGGCACATAGCTTGATCGCGGGACTTGCGAGTCATGTCGTGTTGGATCAAATGGTGGAGTCGAAACCGGCCGCAGTGGGGCATGTGTAGCAATCAAAGATGAGGGTGTAACATTTGAAGCTGGAAGGTGAGTGATGGGATTGGAAGACTGAAGGTTTTGTAATCGCCAAGCCGTTGAGCGAGATGTTGGCTTCCGGCGGCGAGCAAAGTGTTGTGGGGTAGGCTTGGAGAAGCACGGATGATGCGCGTGGAAATGGAGATGTGGAGCAAAGTGAGCTGTTAAGAGCTGGATGTCGGAAGAAAATGTGGCGAGTCGATGGAGAGCTTGCAGAAGGGCCGGTGGCAGTGTCTGGGTATCCGGGGTAGATAGAGGAAATGTGGTGGTGGGAAGTTGATAAGGATATTGGTAAGCCATCTTTGGAATTGAAAGAATGAATCCTCAAAGGTATTGAATGATAATAAACAAAACTGGTAGTCCTCAGCTTAACACGCTGGCATCAAGAAGTTGGAACTAAAACTAAAGGTCGGAGTGGATTATAGTAATATAAACTTCATCAACTGATAAACTGTTTGATCAATAAATTTTGATATAACCGCTTGAACTAGCTATCCAATGGCTACCTTGTGTCTTTAAACCGATAGTAAAACCTCTGAAACACTATATCTTCTTGTTATTTTGTAAAAAAAATGAAACTTCTAAAACACGCAATCTTCTGAAAACTTTCAAAACTGGCAAATCTTCTGTTTGTTATGAAACTGAACCGATGTTGTTATCGGAATCTTTAACTCTGCTCGGTGATGGGTTAGAACACCTGGTGCGTATCGATCGTTTAAAAAAATTTCAACCAAAATCTTCGACATCCACAGCTGGTATCACCGACTGGGACTCATAACCTGTTAGAGCAAAAGCTCAGCATCGGAGATCCAACCACAAAGAAGGATATATTGCGCATACCTGTTAGAGCAAAAGCTCAGCATCGGAGATCCAACCACAAAGAAGGATGTGGAAGGAGCCGGGAGCTGGAGCTTGACAGGTTATATACAAGATGAACTAGGTCTACTGTGCCGCAGTCGTGTACATACGGCTGGGCAGACCTCGGGCCATAACAAATTTGACAAATTTTTTGCCAATCTTTGATGACCTTTCTGCGCAAACGTCAATTTTGGATTTTCGTCTCTGGCGCATCCATACAGAGATTTGCGTTGGTTCTTTTGAAACATGCGGGTAGAATAGTTTCAGGCATTAAAATGTGTGCTATGTAATTATGAGGTGTGTATGATTCATCTCGAACTTGAAATTTTGCTTTGCTGGCGCGGGGTAGTTGGGCTTTGATGAGACCCACTGTACAAATATAGCTTGTCCTTTCTAGTGGATAGTTAACGATGAATTTTGTTCTGAGAATCCGGATGATGATGTGTTGAAAATAAAAGATTGCTCGCGGATTTCCCGTCCCTGCGAGTACTCTCAAGTCTCGAAAGCTGAGTAAAAAAGAGAAGCCAAGACCTTCTCGTGATCCCAGCCTCAGGTCTTGATGCTTTGAGCTGTTTTAAATAATTTGTTGAGACCAGCAGATTCCGACGGCGGAATCAGTCGTTATAGAAAGTTCATCTCTCAAGAGTCAATGGGCGATGTATGTAGGATCCAAATCAAATTTGCAGCGTGCGATTGAGGGACATAATCAAATCATCACGACCTAGCACAAAACATTCCCAGATGAGCATAAGCCTCAGCTTGCATCAGCGTTGCCAAAGATCAGATGTCGAGATTTCCATGTCTGCTCATTGATGTAAAGAAAGTACCCTCTTTCAAGTACAATGTACTAGAATGTACTCCACTAACCACCACCTTCGGTGACAGATTTAAAAGTATTTATGGCATGTTTCACAAAGCTTGTTGTCTCAACTTCCTCGCCACTTTTCTCAACTTCCTCGCCACAATTGGACAAAATCAGTGCAATCCCCTGGTTTTTCACCGGCCGCCGTCCGCCCAGCCCAACTGTTTCAAATATGTGATTTTATGATCAAAATCCTAACAAAATCATATCAAATTCACTAACGCACGCGGTGCTTGTGCTCCACCGTTTTTGTCTCTTTACCATAAGGAGTTTCACGTTGTATTGAGTTTTACGTATTTTTAACCATTCGGACAAGCAGTTCAAGAAAAATCTTTGCGCATATCTTACTCAGGATGAGCCCCGAGACCCGCCAAATCGGGGATACCCGCGGGACAGCCCGTCGGGTCGGGGGGTCGTTCTGGCCTTCGAAGGGTTGCAGAACCGCGGGGATTATCGGGCCCGGGAGTCGTTCTGAGAGTCAAAAGAAAGTGACTCTCCTCGGGGAACCCGAGGAAAAATCAAGCTGTAAAAAGCGGATAAATACACGCTTGGGAGAGGTTGTGCTCAGCGGTTTCTGCCGGAAATAGCCAGGGACTCGGGGATCCCCGTAATTTCCCGGGGATTTGGTAGTCCGTCGGGGGTCAGGGTACGGGAGCCGGGCTTGACCTATGAGCCAGAAAAAGCTCGGGGAATACCGGGGTCGGTCCTCGTTCTGACTTTTGAAAAAAAGTCGGTGGGCCGGGCAGCCCAGTCCCCGGCATTCGGGGGTCGGGGCTCATCCTGATATCTTACTATATTTTACAAACAACGGGCAAGTTTCCGCAACTTAAAGTTTCCGAAACGTAAAAATACGTCAAAATGCAAACTTGAAACCCCTTCAAAGGAATCCCACGGCCCTACATAGCCGCTTTGAAATATAAGCACATAAATTTGTTCAACAAGGGCAGCCAAGATCTGGCCAAGACCACATTCGGTGGCGTAAGATCACAGTCAATTTCACCAAGCTTGGAAAGAATTCCGCGCCAATTTGCCCAAGTTTGGCGGGCAACAGTTTCCAAGCTTTCTGAAATCGACGGTCACATTGGTGAAAACATTGGATTGGCTCTTGATGAGTACATAAATGCGTTGAAATCAAGTTGGGAATCAAGACTTTCAGATTTGAGTTTGAATGCATTTCGATTCCTCGAGCCGAATTCCCATGCGGAGGCCATAAATAACGTGACCGTCTGTCAAGATTTCAAATCTTTCCGAATGCACGCACGTATTTTTTTTGGCAGAATTTGCAATTGATGATAAGAAAGCTGTGCCAGATCTTTGACAATAATATCGATCAAATAGGGAACATACCAAAACTGCTCAATATAAAATGGGGCCATATAAAATTACGGCAACTTCTTCACCAAGATAATCCTTCCCCCTTTAAACTAGCAAAAGAGTCACCTTTTCTTTTCTTTCTACAGTAGTTAGTCTTTTTATTCAGTCGAATCTGCATTTTATTATCCATATGTGCTTACCGGAATATCAACTTACATTCTCATCCTTCCAGACCTTACTCCAAAAAATTATCAAACGATCAACACGTCTACATCAAGATCAACATCCGAAGATGCAGCTTAACATCCCGCAATCGCTAAGAGCCTTGACAATGACAGTCCTTATCATTTCAATCTCGTTCTTGAACGGTTCGGAAGCCAGACCTATCGACACGAAAGCTGAACTCAATGTATTTACCATTGTCTACACTTTCGATTGCGATTACCTTGACTAACATCAAATTCAATTCAAAAAGGTACTTGGCGAAAAGTCGCGCTCATTCGCCATTCGAAGATCCTAGCCTCCTCAACGCGTTCGTAGCGGTTTCACTTACGGTCAGTCATCTATATGCTTGTCCCAATCTCGTTGCTTGGTGGTTTCATGAGTTATTAAGATCATTTTCGGTATTCTTCATATGGATAGATCAACTCGATGTAATGGTTTCAAATATGTGTCATATCACACTTAGCTGCGTGTAAAGACAGATCAACCTTGTTGGTAAAGAAATGACTGTCATGTCAATATTTGACTTATGTTGTTATGGAAATTGTTTCACGAATATTGTTAGGAAGTTATGTGTATAAAGATGTGGTCTCTTGGTCATACTTTTAGTTTCCTCAGCGAATTATTAACGTATTTTAATCACTCTAAAACTAAACCAGCATCTCGTATAAAAGCTCTGCTCAGCAAGATCCTGGACACAAGCCCTTACATTCAACTTCTTTCTGAGACGGATCCGGTGTTCTCGTCTTCATGCTTTTTGCTGAACCTTTACCTAAATTGTATTATATTGGAGCAGCTTCCTAGGCAAATCTTCTCATATCAATGTGTATAGTGGAATATAGTGGACTCTTTCTTTCTCATAAGCATATACTCATGCATATTTTGGTCCATATATTTCATAGACCAGGAAAAATTGGTTGGAATTCCACATCTTCATCCTCTATTTTAACTTAGCCATGGGGCATTTGAGGAAAACCTTGTTGAAAACTTGTGATATCACAGCAGCAAGAGGGCTTACAGCCATTGATGAGAATCTCCCCTATGGAGTTGGCTTAACACAAGCCCTCTCTGGGCGGCCACGTCCGCGCGCCTCGCAGAGGGGCTTGTGACTAATCGTCGAATTCTGGCACAGAGACTCCAGCCCTTGAGTCCTCTTAAGTCGTTTTTTGCTGTTTCCTGCTTTCCTTGCTGATAAACATCACTTTAGCTTGCAGGGAATGTTGTTCAGCATGAGTTTCTACACATACTGATGGTTGCCTTTGGTGGGCACTCTGAGTGGTGTAACCACCCAAGTAAGTTGAAATTTTTACAATCCCTGCCTGTACTGTCTCGTTTTTGATTTTACGGTGCAAATACAGCCTGTATCCCCTTTACAAGTGAGACATAAAGCCTGGATACGTGTCTTGGAAAAAGAATGACAGAGCATTCTTTCCTGGTTGATCAATATTCAAAGACATGTAGAAGCCATTC